GTTCATACCTAATCACATTCGCACTCAACTGGAAAAGGTCAGGAAATTCCTTGTCTTGGAATTTCTTTTTTAAATCAAAGCTCAAACAACCCTGAGCGATTTTGACAAATTCTTTTTCGGGCAGAGGTAAAAAACAATTGCTTCTTGCTGTCTTGAACCTTTAGAGAAAACTTTCTGCCCATTCGTTTGGTATTTGACGTTGATTCGCCAAATCAGTCAAAGTAACTTCAGACTCAGTTTTATAAAACTGGCGTGGAATAATTGTTCCAATTGTTGCCATGTTTGAACAGAGTTCGCTGGCAAGTTGATGAACCAGGAGAAAGCTACTCCTGTTAATGAATTAGGGAAAAGCCTCATTTTATGGTAATCAGTTACATCACCACTTTGCAATGTGAATTGCCCTATGTGTTCTAGAGTAGACACCTCCACTAAATCGGTAAACAGTGAGAATTCTGGCACTTTATACCCTATAGGCCATGGATATGCTTGATCTACCCAATCAGGATATGGCTTTGTGTAAGTCGGCCTAATGACAGGACGCACCCCAAAAGCCATCCGATCCTGTACGATTTTCATAATCTGATTCCTCAACATGACGTTGGGGTCATATGGAATTTCTACAGGTTGGTTAACCGGTTGATTTGCATGAGGCCTGATGTTTGGTCCTTGATTGGCAACAAAGTTACCATGATTTGGGCCATTACCATTATCCCGAACATCTATTCCTTCATTAACACGTGGGGTATTCTGTCTATTGTTTAGAACATTATCTCTTACATTTGGATTACCCCCCAAGTTAGACGTACCACTACCATTGTTCTGATTTGGCACTGCACCACCCCCTTGGTTTGAAGTAGAGGGACCAGAAAGTGGTTCTATCACTTGATTCGAATTTAGGACTGAGGGATTATGTCCCACAATTGTCCTAGTTTAAAAGTGGTTTGCAAGAGGCAGAACCGGTTGACATATTTGGCCTACTAACTTATTCATTATTTCGTTCAAAGTGTTTAGTTGTTTGGCCATATTGTCATAATGTGCATTCCCATTTTGGGTAAATCTTTTCATATTATGAATATTTCGAAGATTTACCTGTTCAACGGCATCTTGTGTGAGTTCTCCAAGTAGTGCACGCATAGTTCGAGAACTCAACTCTGTCATTGGTTCGTAACGACTGTTACTGCTCTGATTCTGTCCATCTGTTCGTGGAGAGGCATGCTGCTCCTCATATCGCTCGATCACAGATTGGACTCCTCCAATTGGGCTTCATTCTTTGGACCGTTTGATTTGGACTGAATTTTTATGTGTCAACCGGTGTGATACACACACAAATAAGTAAGACTAGTATATATTATACTACATATGACAAAATAAATTTAAAAAATTGATAATTTTTGTATGTTATATGTCATATTTGTCGTATACAAGCCTTACAAATATATTATGATCTATGATACTTTTGATACACATTTTTATTTTTAATTAAATAATTTACGATGGAAAAGATAAAAAATAAATTAGTCATTTGATTCGCTTTTAAAACTAAATAATAAATTAAGGTGGATTTCAAAACTATTTTTTATTAATTAGTTATCCTTTTACCTAAAGTTGAATGTATGAGTTTATCGATTTTTCCAATTGAATTTATCGTCCATTGGTACTTTATTTTTATTAAAAAAAATAAAATAAAAAAAGGGTTAAAAATAACAATAGTTTCACAGAATATTAATAAAAATTCAATCAAATTCTAAATTGATTGATCTTTAAGCTTGGACCAAATGTCAACTATACTAATAATTGAAGTCATTAATACTGTTGACACTCGAAATTCGATCTCAGAAGAAGTCGTTCGTAGGCCCCACCTCAAGTAGATGTGAGTTCGGTTATGAAATTCAGCTCGACGTACTATCTTTGTAATCTCAAAAGACATCATGATTACCTCCTATCACATTACCCTCTCAATCACCTACACTTGTAGAGGGTGATGTCATCATCACTCAAAACCACCAATCGGAGGCCTCGAACCTTCAAATCACTTGCAGGTCGTCATTTCCTATGAAAACATTGACACATGACCATCGGCCTCGTCGACCAATTACAAGAGAGTTCGTCGACTTGACTTTCGAGCTCAATCATGTTCCTGATTTGTTTATTTTGATGTAATTTCAACTGTAGTCACATTTAAATAGCAGAGAAATGGTTTCTCAAGGACAAGAAGAAAAGAAAAACTTGGAAGCAAAAAAAAAAAAAAAGATTACACAATTTAATCCTTCGCGAATACATTTCCCCCTTTTTCATAATAGAGTTAGATTGCCCTTTTTTCTTGAAGTTGATTCGAGATTAGTCTTTACAAATTTTGATGTCAACAAATATCACATTTAATTTGAGATTATAGGAGTGAAATTATGTCTCAAGTAAATTTACTTATTCAATATGTTGGAAACTAATTAAGTGCTTTATTTAGTAATTGAGCAGTTATTAACGTGTATATGGGAATGCAGGGTGTGCGATTGGCGTGGTTGTACCATATTACTTGGCTAGTGAATTCAACTTGCCATGTCCAAACATAATTGGTAACAATAAAGCTGCACGTACAAGGCAGCTCTTCACAGGGGCGTCATACGCCCTTCACTGTAGCATCGGGCCCCACCTGAAAATAAATAGCGACGAGCCCCCATGTGTATTGCCTGGCACGGGCCCCTGTACATGCAGCATCATTCAATTGGTAATGTATCTACATGTAACCATCTCATAGGGTATAACAATTTTTTGTTAATAAGTTACTTTTCGAGAAATGAGTCATATTATAGAGATCCTGGAAAATGTGTGATTAGAATTGAAGTTTGACTTTGAAAAGTATATTTTTAAGTTTTAAAAAAAATAAAGGAGAAGATGAAAACCTAATCAGAGGAGGCTAAATTATAGAATACAATATAACTTTCTGAGGCTAAATTATAGAATGCAATATAACTTTCTTCCGCACTTTTCTCGAAGATTGTCGAACACTTGTAACTCAACAAAAAGAACACGTTATACATGCCGTTGGCCTATCTTAAAAGTCGAAAATTTGAATATTTGGCAGGTGGGTAGCTGTGCTTTCATTTGGAGAGGATTGACAAAATAACCACCATGCCTCCGAATATTCTGCTAGACGTGGACTAGAATAGTGGCAGATTGATATGACTTGGTACTTTATAATTAAGGTTCCTTGAAGCTATTGAATTGGCAACTGATGTGAAGCTTCCACATGGGCAGATTCAAGGACGGATTGGGCCGTGCTACAGTCTGTCCTTTCGACCCAAATGTCCATTAAAATTTAAGTAAAATTTTTTTTGTTATGTGCAATATTTTTTTTATACGTATTAGCCCGTATTGAATTTTTTCTTGGATCCGCCACTGCTTCCAACATTTAAGCATTGAGGTTAGTGATAAAGAAGACAATTATTACTTCAAATTTTGTTATATTTAGACATCTCAAGGAGAAAATGAAGCTAATGAAAAGCCTATTGGAGATGCTTCGAGTATGAATGTGAATGCTTACTCTTGCATTTTAACATTGGAAATAATGGGCCGATAAGGTTATTTTTTTACTGTGTATTCTCCAATACCCACACTACAAATTATTTTCCTTTTGAGGATGAAAATTGACGTAGTTGGATGCACAATCGACTTCTCTGAGGCCTTGGTATTAGGAGTAAATGAATAAGTAACATAATCTGGAGTGGTGGTGCAAGATTTGGGTTTTGTGTTGCAACATACTACAACAATATGTTTTTCTTTTAAAGTTATTTTGCAAGTTTTCTTTAATAGCAATCTTCTTTTGCATCGACCCAATAATATTACACTATACAAGACAACATGAATTGCATCGACCCAGCATTTGAACGAGGATATGGAACTACTTTCATATCTTTAATTATGGAAATTACATCACAATATCACGAGAATATGAAAATACTTCCATTAACAATAACGACATGTCAAAAGATATAGAGTTGTGCATAGATCAATAAAGAACAATATTGTAGCATTTTGGATAAACAGTACTTGATGTGACTCAATATCATATAATGGGATGTAATATGGGTACATAATGGTGTCTCCTCCTCACTCTCACGTGTGTTGGGCCCACCTGAATATTATTAATATTCAGGTGGGTCCAACACATGTGAGGAGGGCACCATTATGTATCCCCTTTATGTACCACAAGGGTTTTCCTTATATAATATTGGATAAAGATACTTGTATATAATTTTTTATACATAAGGATATCCACCCTCTCACATGACGTAAGACCCACTCGAATATTTTATTCTAGTGGGCCCAATCCACGTGAGATGGTGGACGTTCCTATGTACCAAAAATTATGTACCCCTAGCATTTTTCTATAATATTTCAACTTCTTTTCTTATTTAATATTATTCATTCTTGTCTAATAATGTGTATCGAGCATACACCAAAACTATGATATAGAATTGCACAAAACTTAACCCACTGTTCACCAAAACTGTCATACTGTATTCTTTGTGAACATAAAATTTTAGGTTCTTTTTTTCTTCATTAATATTCTCGAATTTAATCCAAATTCTTCTTGCCAAACACGTCGACAGTGTTAGTCGGTACAAATTTCCTCAAGTTGTAAACAATGACACAATTGTAGCCGCTATAGCTGCAGTTTTGCTGCAAGAGGCTGAGATGGTTTTGGAAAGATGTTCACTCTAGAAAGGTGGCATTGTTAGAGACGTAAACTCAGCCACACAACAGACATTTTACATTGAAAAAATCTCAAAAACAGATAAAAGGCAACAGGCACATATCTTGTGTGAACCCAAATAAAATCTTGACCACACCATCAGTATCTTTCACCATCTGAAATCTCCAAAGCCAACTAAATAAGACCCCGACCCCCACAGCCTTATCACTTGCTTTCCAACATCATTCTATTTTTCTCCGTCCATGATTGTCATGGACGGTTATATTAGACGCTAGTGAACAAGATTTTTTTACTTTTTTATAATGTCAATTACTATTTAATTGTCTCTACCCCACGTTTCAATAAACTACACCATGAAATTCTTAAGAACCCAAAATTCAACAACCCAATAATATAAAAACCCAAGATCCCATTTCTAAACGAAATGCCTAAGCCAAGAAAATGGCGGCACTGTTAGCACCACCACCGCCCAAGGCTAAACCCATCTCATTTTCAGCCCCCCACCGCCATAAAAATATACCAGTAGAAGCCCATTTTCCTGCTATTATACGTGAACATCAAGAATCAGTATATGGTGCTAAAAACATTAGGAAAACACTAAATTTCCTTAATTATGGTTTCAAAGGAAAAATTGGAGATGGCAAGAGTAAAATGCCCATTGTGAGTGCAGCATCAATTCCATCGCCAGAATGTGGAAACGATTCAAAATTTGGGGGAATTTTTCTGTCTGATGTGGTGGTGAAGAGGAGGAGGAGTGTGTATTGGGGCAGAAAGTGGAATTCTTTGGATGTTGCCACCGTAGGGGTGGTGCTTGCTATGCATTTGCTGTGCCTATTTGCCCCCTTCGCGTTCAACTGGGGTGCTTTGTGGGTTGCTGTTGGATTGTATATTATCACTGGCCTTTTGGGTATTACTCTCTCTTTTCATAGACATCTTTCTCACAGAAGTTTCAAGATTCCCAGATGGCTTGAGTACTTTTTTGCGTACTGTGGTGTTCAAGCACTTCAGGTCAGTTGATTTTATATTTTCATTAAAATTATGCCCTTCTCTGAGAGATGGTTCTACGGGATATTATCTCGAATCTTGTTTCTAGTGATGACATCTAGAACTCGGCTGACTGAAGAAGATTTTGACGACATGATTCAACATTATCATTAGCTATGAGAATTTAGTATATACTTTGTTCTTGTGTGAAAACTTGAATGTTAATGTGTTTTTGGCATTTTGAATGCAGGGGAACCCAATTGACTGGGTGAGCACGCATAGGTACCATCATCAATTTTGCGATTCGGAAAAAGATCCACATAGTCCCATAGACGGATTTTGGTTTAGTCACATGAGTTGGCTTTTCGATACGAATTCCATTGTTGAAAGGGTAATTACATTTTATACATCTTGAAATTTGTTAGGAAATTTTGGCCATTATTTTCGATTCCTTGACTTAGGATTAGTTATGTTTCTCAATTGGAACTATCGAAGGATTGAGAAAGAGAATTACATAACGGCCCACAAATTTATTGGAAACAATGTTTAATTTATTTGTGTTACCTTTTTCTTTTAGTTGTACGAGAATGATTCTTGAGTCCCTGGTTTGAATTTGCAGTGCGGAAAACCAAACAATGTTGGAGATCTAGAGAAGCAGCCATTCTATAAATTTCTTCAAAGCACTTATGTATTCCATCCAATTGCACTTGGAGCACTATTATATGCTTTGGGAGGATTTCCATACATTGTCTGGGGAATGGTAAGTGCAAATATTAATCTTTGAGGTCTTATAAATGTGGCCACGCTACATGTATAATCGGGGTTGACAATCACGGTTGACAACCACACACATGGGAGGAGAGCTCACAATCAATAAAAAAATCATAAGCCCCACTCCTATGAGAAGGTTGTCAACTGGGGTTGTACAACCTGCAAAATTCTATAAACGTTACAGTTTGTTTGAGATTCATTGATCAAAATTTGACAATGCAGGGTGTAAGGATCGTGTGGGTGTACCACATTACTTGGCTAGTGAATTCAGCTTGCCACGTTTGGGGAAAGCAAGCTTGGAACACGGGCGATCTATCAAGAAATAATTGGTACTAATTTATCGTTTAAACGTTTTCAACATATTGAAATAGTGGAGGTTGTCAATTTACGAGACAATATGTTTTGCATGCTCACCTTCTTCCGACCTTGTCAAACACTTGTAATTAAACAAAAAGGGAAACATTTAATAAACGCATACATATATCTTATAATCTACTTAATCTTAAAACTTTGAAATTTTGGAAATTTTGCAGGTGGGTGGCTGTGCTTGCATTTGGCGAGGGTTGGCATAATAATCACCATGCCTTCGAATATTCAGCTAGACATGGATTGGAATGGTGGCAAATTGACATGACTTGGTTTGTGATTAGGTTTCTTGAAGCTATTGGACTGGCCATCGATGTGAAGCTACCCAACTCTGCCCAAAGGCAAAGGATGACATTCAGTAATTGAGGGTTAGGCAAAGGGGTGGGGGACTCTGTTATCTTGCTATTTTAGTAGGTTGATGGACATGCATAGAGCACAATTGCGAAATTTAGAAAACGTTTGTCGTAACTTCTATGTTTAACATATGGCTACAGTTCTTGAGTTGATATATATATATTATTTTTATTTTTTTAATTTTAATTTTGCTTTCTTTCCTTGTGTTATTCGGTATTGTTTAATCTATTTACTAAACCTGGCTTTACATCTTTGAACTAGTTTTTCTTTTTTTACAAATGCTGCCGCCTCATATTTTTGGAGAATGTCATTTGTACAGAATTTTTTCCACAGAATTTGGCCAGATTACTCTCATGTGTGGGATCCACTGTATGAAGCCTGTCTGTACACACAGGAGGGTCCCATATTTTTTTGTTTGGAAATGGCTCAACATTTACCTTCCTTTTTTTTTTTTTTTTCCTGTTATAGTCGAGTATATTTATGTTGAATATCATACAATCTTTGAATATATGAGTTCCATTTTGAGTACATATGACGACTTAAGTAGAGCAAAGATATAAATTTAATAATATTTTTATTAGAAGAAAAGGCAAGTTAAAGGAATAACAAAACTGCAAAACAACTAAGTTAAAATTCATTTGCTCTGTCTTCTTATTAATCATACATTATTCAATAAAATAGTATTACATGTAAATTTTTTAAAAAAAAAATTTCTTTTTAACCACATATTTTTCAAAAAATTACTATTTCTTTCATTATAATTTGAAAAAATAGAGCCCAAACAAGGGCTAATTTTAGAGAGTTTCTTTAACCACTATAGGTGGTATGTTTTACAAATGATGAAAATAATTCAAATTTTGTAGGGGAGATCACTCTACCTCCAGCTAAATGTGCAATAGCAGATAAAAATAAATTTATCCCGTTCAAATTCTAGGAGTATAATGTAAATATTAAAGAACTACTATTCATTTGACAGTCATACTCTTCGTCGTCAGATACCAAGTGTAGTTTCTCTTATTCTGTTACTTTCAGTACTATTTGAAGGTGAAAAGTCATAGCTTTGTCGCAATATCCATAAACATATTACTTTGTGCTTGAATAGAAAGGTGGGTCTCCACTTTAACCTTACTTACAACCCCCACCTTTAGTACCAACAAGAATTGAGTTTGGTGGGAGCCTGTGATCCAGTTGAGGCATAATCCGCGATTTACCCCCTCCAAGGTTCTAGAGGCATGGGTCTTGGAGGTTCAGGATTTAGTCTGATATAAGTTGGGATACCTGGATATCAAAAAATAATAATAATAATAAATAAATAAATAATTGAGTTTGGTGGAGTGGGTGAGAGCAAATGTTTTTTGTCACGAGTTCGATTCCTCCTACTAACACTTTTTCGATCGATCTTGTCGCACCGAGCTTGCCTAATGCAGTTTTCCTGGCTAGCGTGGTTTGCATACTATTACACCAGTTCGAGGGTTTACCCAGTGCACACCTGAAGGGTAGTAGCTGCGAGTTCTCCCGTCATAATAAAATAAAATAAAATAAAAAAAAGGGGAATTGAGTTTTCAATTAAACTAATGAAAGGAAAATATACCAAGTCTCAACTAGAATACTAGTTAAAATTTGGACAAAATAAGTGTGTGTCTTATAGAATGACAAGAAGTTGGATAATTTTTTGAGACAATGAAAGAAATAAATTGTCATCCCTCTAAATGGTTCCAATTTCCAATCCGGAAATATCCTCACTCTATAGTACAATAAGTCAAAAAAATAAATAAGTTATTATGTACTTCAAGTTTCTAAATATTAAAAATTATCTACCCTTTAATTATAATGTAATGCTTGATCAGCTTTAATCATACTGTAAGTTGTAACTTGCTAGAAATGAAGTTGGAGTCTCATGTTGAACCGAATACATAATCCTTTTTGTGAAGGCAAATCTTTGTCAATTTTTCGTAAATTTTGTATGTGAAAAGTGTCACAAATATGGTTATGGAGTGTAATTGTCGCAAAAAAGTAGATAGCTTGCAAATTAAGGAATAATATCTTACAACAATGAACAATATATCTTAGTTTTGCAAGACATTGATCTTTAGCCGCTAAAATCGTCCATCTGTTTGTACATAATTATGCATTGCGGAATCGAATCAAATAAAGTGAACACAACATGTCTTCGTTTTATAAGCCTTTGCCTTTTCTCTTGTAATTAAATATTATTATTCTGAAACTTTTTATGTACAATTCATATTTACACCTCTTATAGCACAAGCACATATTCATCTACGTGACAACTATAAATAATGCATGCATTTCAAACTATGTTTGATTTTGATAGAAATTAATAAAATGTGTCATCGAAAAGTTAATAAATTTAGATCTCATGAAATTTGTAATTGAAAATAAGTTTAAGAAAAAATAAATTTTGAAAGACAAAAGTCAAACAAGGGCTAAATATGATTAACATATTCTCTTATTTGTCCAAACTGTGGAAAAGTGAATTTGCATTCTAGAAAATCATTCTTTAACTAAAGATATGAAATATTAGGCTACAATATTCTCCCCTATATTCTACTAAGATCCACAAACTCATTTTCATGGTGTGAGGATCAAATCAGATCACATGTAGGGCCTAGATCAGTACTCCAATGTCTTCTAAGCATTACATGATTGCTTGACATCAATATCACAATTGGGATTTATGTCATTACTAAGTCTATTCTGGTAAATGAAACGTGTAATTAACGTATATATTTAACAATTATGCTATAGCTATAGAAGATTTTAATTGACAATACAAGGCATGAAATCATTGAAAGATGGAAAAAACACAAAAAAAAAAAAAGCGAATTAAGTTTCATCACGTCTGCATCTGTATGAATTTGGTAAGGAAATCCCTGTACTTGATGCTTTTTTCAATATTTAAAGAGAGCTCGTAGCAATATTAAACATCAAAGCGAGGAATTTTTTATGATAATTTATATCCAAATTCGTTCAGACATTGTCCGCTGGTGACCATCATTATCTAATCACAAAGAAGAGCATCAAATTAATTATAGTTTAATCTCTGGCCACCAAAAAAAGAGAAAAGGTCGCAGTTTTTCTATAGTTTCGTCTACTTGATATTCTACACGAAGTGGTTCTAAAGTTCGTTAAAGTTGTCAATAAATTAAACTAAAATCGCTTTATATTGGATTTAGTCTCTTGTCCAAATCTATGTGAAAAAAATATTCTTAATAAAG